GTACGAAAATGTTGTAAAAATATAGCTGCTCAGCAATTTATATATTATTCATGTTGTCATGTAATTGTTTTTAAATATCTTTAATATTTTTTAAATATCTTATATCTTTAATCTGTTTTTAATATCTTTAATCTTTTAATTCCAACGCAACTTTTAGATATCGATTGAATATTACCATCGTTAGAGATCTTAGGTTTTCTAATGGAAATCCATGATAAACTATATTTCTCCCATTGCTTAGAAAAGTATGGTTGTTATGTATATTCTAATAGTGAAAAATTTATTTTAACGAATATGCGAAGAATAACAAACAAAATTCAAATCTTTAAACTCACTTTCGCAGCAATTGTTAGTGAAATGCCTATAAAATGAATATCTATATCTATAAAGTGAAGTCAAAGTGGCATAATATTTTATTTGAGATTTGCTAAGATAAATATTGAAATAAAGGTATAATTTTTGAATTATTGCAATGCCTAGTGTGCAACATTTTCAAATTATCCTTAACTTTTTCTTTCTTAGAGAAATGAAATAACGAAAGCTTAAGGAAGGATATAGCAGAAAGAAAAGAATATGCTTTTTGCTATATGCTGCAGTAATTAGTGAGTTGTTTTTCCAATTATATTTTTTTCATATGCTTTAATGTTAACCATAGATTATTTTCAACTGGAACGATAAGCCGCCTGTTTTTCCGCTTCTTTCATTTCAACAAAATGCGCTACGATTAGCATTTTTTGAAAAAATTTGATGGAATAAGAATATTAAAATAAAGAAACAATATACTCAATTAGATAAAATTAATTAATACATAATTAAAAAAACATTTATCTGAATTGAAAAATATTATTTTATATTAGAGTTTTTTAATGTGGTTTGAAATTATAAACCCAAATATGGTGTTAAATCCCTAAAAAGCCAAGTTAAAATCGTTAAGTGTTACAATCATAAAGTGTACGTAATCTTAGATAAGTTGATTCAGCGCTAAACCACAGATTATCTACTTCGACAGTTAACCCGTTGCAAAATTTGCTGTAACCTTAAAAAGTTAATATTACCATATTAAACCTTAAAGAATATTTTTATTTAAGTTGAACTATAGAATTATGTATTCAATGTTAATAAATATAATTAAATGACTCCATGTAACACCATATTAAGGTTTTAAAGTTAAATGATATGTTTCCACACATTTCATAATTCTCAACATTGCATATCATTGCATTTTTGACAGTCTTAACAGTGATGTTTTTTTAACAAATTTTATATGATATCAGTTAAAATTGCTTACATAATTTCTTTCAGCGTTAAACAACAAAATATTTGCCTTGAACATTAAATCGGTGCAAATTTGCTGTAACCTTAAAAAGGTGTTAAATTAAACCATATCTGTGCTCAAGTTATACCATAGATTGGTGTAATCAAAATTAATATATATCATTAATTGTCTCCATTTAATACAATCTCATGGTTTTAAAATTGAATGATATTATTTTTCTAGATATTTCAAACTTTTAAACAGTGTATATCATTTTATTTTTAATAGTTTCAGGTGGAAAAGAAATTATTTAAATAATTTTTAATGGTGCTTTATAATTAAAATAGTAAATAAAATAAGCTTGAGCCATGCTAGAATAGTAGATAGTTCACCTCACAATGAGAAGAACAAGGTTTGAATCCCAGCAGTGGCAGATTGGAGCGAATTCCGCTCCCGGCTCACACTGACCACAGTGCTGACGTAAAATATCTTCAGTGGTATACGGATCATGGATCTCCTAGTCGGAGGGCTAAACGTGGAATGTTTTCGAGATTTTCCTCCCCAAGTAGCACAAATGTGGGTTAGTTCCATCAAAAAGTCCACCTCGAATGCTAGTTTGTCCCAATGCTTGTTTCAAGAGTTCCCTTGTCTTCTAGGTCGGGTTCAAATTTGAAAGACTGCGGAGTTGAACATTGATAGTCGTAAACTCGGAATTCTTTCGATTCTTCAACGCCAGTTATAAAATAAAAATTTAAAAAAAAAAAAACAGCTTTAGAAATTTCAAATTTCGGGAAATGTGACGCCAAAAAATGTTTTGAATCAAAAGGAAAAAACATGGTGTTTGCTAAACATAAGTGTTTGCTAAAAGATCTATAAAAAACATTAACTTATCGTGTTATTCTATAAGATAATGTTTCGTGCTTGTTATTAATTTGCAATTTCAATTACGTTATCAATATACCATTACATATTCCATAGTAAATTTCTAATGCATTTTCATTGATGCATGCATCAATTATAGTATGTCAATGGTAATGTATTATTATGAAACTGGTATTTGTTTAAAAAGCTCATATAATGAAGAAAATGAAATAATACTAGGGTCAATCATAAAACTTATCACCCTAGAAAATGCAAATCGGTTTAAAAAAATTGCATATTTAATGTATATTCGATAATGACAAATTCAAGTGAGATTAAATGAGTTGCGTGATGTATTTTCTTTTCTAAAGAATATTTTTAAACAAATTATAATTGATGCCTTAACTATCACTTTATAGGCATTCAGTTGAAATAAAATGAATAAAATATCATAATAATTATATTAAAAAATATCCATCGTTGCCGATGCATCATAATCATTCAAATAACATCATATTTGTCAAATGCTTCAATAAAATTTAAAAAGGATAAATTATATTTAGTATCGTGTTGTTTTTTGATGCTGTTTGACATTGTAATTTGAAAATCTCTTGATATATGTCTTTTGAACAAAGATTGTTATTAATTTGCTATTAAAGTTTTTGTATTATTATAACTGCAAATGGTGCTGAAAATAACTGTAGAGTATTTTAAATAATATAAATGTGAAAAATGTAAAGGTAATTCTTCTTTTCAGGCAGATAATGTTGAGAAATTATAGCTTGATAATACTGTGGTGTCTTAATAAAAACGGTATAATAACATTATTTTCTACGGAAAAATATGTTTTTCTACTTAGTCAAAAATAATTAGATTTCCACTTAAATTAACTAGCACAATTTTAAACTTTGGGATGCTTGTCATTTACATTGTTGCGTAATAAAAATGTCTTATTTCAGATATGTATAGCTTTAATAAAGCTGTTTTTTTAAATTATTTTTATCAGAGTTACTAGGTTGAAATTATGTTTCTTAAGAAATGTATGTTAAGAGTTAATTTGAGATAATGATAATATGGAATCACAAAATAAAAAAGTTCAATAGAAGTAAAATAAAAAAATAAATAAATGTATTTAGATCAAATTTCGCAGTTTGATAAATATTGGAAATATGCTTTATTAATATGCTTGTCGAAAGAATTTTGCGATCAAAAATTGGTACAGAATATTTGAGTTTCATTTATCTACGTTTTAATTTGAAACATATGTGAATACATAAACACTTATTTTAAAGATAAAAATTAATTATTGCCAATGTTTGGTCTACAGTTGCTCTCCATGCTTACATGCATCGAAGTTTTCTGAAAGAAGTATGTAATAGAAAAAAAAAGAAAGAAAACGTGGAGGCTAAAGTTACCCCTCAACATAAAGTAATATAAAACACCAGTAAGAATTCAATATTTAACTTTTGTTAACAGTTGAGGAGGTAACTAAAGGCTAAAATAAGAAAACTCATACTGCTCGAAACATATATTAGTAAAAATAAATTTGAAAAATGTATATTTATTTTTAATATTTTTAGTGTTTCGGATACATAATTATTACAAAATGTTTAAGATGTTTAATTTAATGACAGAACAGCAATTAGCAAGTCGACTTGGAAAAGTGGACTTGCCATTTTTTCGAGACTTAGTCCACTTTTTTTTAAATATTACAAGTTGTGAATTTGCGACAAGGTTTGCAATATTCACATATGAAAAAAAATTGGCTATTTTGCTCCGTAAAAAATTTCTGATCAAATAACGGAGCAAAGTACCGAGACTCAAGGTTTTGGTACTTTTTACCGTAAAATCCATTTTTACCGGAACATGTACCGGAACAAAAAATCTAATATACCGTAATTTTTACAGTAATAATCACTGTACAATTGCTGAATCCCTCTAATAAAATAAATATTACTGTAAAAATTGCGGTATAATATTTTATGTTAAAAATGGCTATTACGGTAATAGGGATTTTAAGATAAAATGGTTTTTACAATTCACCCGTGTGGTTATCGGGTGGGAAAGAATAGTCCTAATGCAGTTATATCAGGGGACTGGTCCTCCAGGTTGGGGGTTGGACATAAGGTTGACACCTCTATCCTGTAAAAATTTCGTGTCACGAACTCCTTAGAAGAAAAATCCCGCATGACTTCATGGAAACGAATTGGAAAACGAAATTTGGATATGAGAATTGGAAGCTGGAACGTTCTGTCTCTCTATACAGCCAAGGCTTTACATTTGCTGTTAGAACAGATGGAACAATACAATATTGATTTGATTGCCATTCAGGAGGTTAAATGGATTGGCAATGGAACTTTGAATAAAAAGAATCATACGGTTTTGTACAGTTGTCACCCCAAAAAGCACATTGAGGGCAATGGCCGTATCGTAAGCAAACGAATACGACACCTGATCTTGAAATTTTAAGGCAATCTCTCCGAGATTGTGTAGGCTCAGAATTAAGGGAAAGTTACTCAGTATTATCTGTTCTTATGCACCAACTCAGGACAAAACAGAGAAAGAAAAGGAATTTTTTTATGAACATTTAGACAAAATTTACATTTGTCCAAAATATGATGTAAAAATTATTTTGGGAGATCTAAATGCAAAAGTAGGTAGAGAAAGGGAATTTAAATATGTAACTAGAGGATCTAGCTTACATGATGCAACCAATGATAGTGGACACAAATTAACTGATTTCGCTGCTTCACATAATATAATTATAAGAAGCACGTCCTTTCCACATAAAAATATTCATAAAGATACCTGGCGTGCCCCATGTGGCACTTATGCAAATCAAATTGATCACGTAGTAATTGACGCGAGACATTGCTCAGACTTAATGAATGTGAGAACTTATGGTGGAGCTAATGTAGATTCAGATCACTTCTTGATTATTGCCAAGGTCAGATCAAAATTATCAAATGCAAAAAAGTTTAAGGGAGAGACTTTGAGGGATAATGACTGTGATAAACTTAAAAATGAAAGGATGAGGCTTGAATATTGCGAAAAAGTAAAGGGACAGTTGAATTTGATGAATTATGATGGTACTGTGAAAAATAAATGGAAATGTATAAAACACAGTATCTGTAACGATGCCAATACCGCGATTGGTAAAGTAACTAAGAAACAGGTTGAGGATTGGTATGACGTTGATTGTGCCATCGCTAATGATAAAAAGAATGTTGCATATAAACATATGATACAAGCACACACAAGAAATAGTGCAGAGGAGTACCATAGAAGCAGAAAAGGGGTGAAGAAACTCTTTAGGTGAAAGAAAAGGGTCTTTGATGAAGAATTGCTTATAGATGTTGGACATCTGAAATCCATTAATGAATGCAGAGCATTCTATCGGAAAATCAACCGCAGTCGACTGGACTTTAAACAGACCTCTAGTCTATGCAAAAACAAATTTGGTGAAATTATTAGTGATAATCAAGACAAAAGATGGCATGAGCATTTTAAAGAACTTCTTAATGAAAATTGTGAGGATGTTGAAATAATTGCAACTGAATTTATAAATCACATCGAAATTGAGGAAATTGTATTTAAAAACTTAAAGAATAAGAAGACTTCGTGACATGATCTCATTTCAGCAGAACTACTAAAAAATTGTGAACCTACCTTATTGAGAAATTTATTTGAACTTATTACTGACATCTGACACTCTGAGATTATGCCAAAGGATTGGAATATTTGCATTTTGTGCCCAATTCACAAGAAAAGAGATCCTATGACCTGTGTCAACTATCGGGGTATTAGTCTTCTTTGTATAACTTGTAAAATTTTATCCAGAATTTTATATCTCAGGCTTTTGCCATTCATTGACTCATAAATAGGAAAATATCAATCTATATTCCGTGCTGGAAAATCAACTAACTATCAGATATTTTGTCTCCGTCAGATTTTAGAAACATCAATGGAATTTAACATTGAAACACATAATTTTTTTATTGATCTCAAGGCTGCGTTTGATAGTATCAATGGAAATTATCTTTCTGAAACAATGAATACTTTTTAAAAATCTTCAAAACTCATTAAATTGACGAGACTTACATTGAAAGATACAAAGTGTAAGATTAAGTTTCCGGGATCTCTGTCAGAAAATCTTGACACATTCGCAGGTGTTCGACAAGGAGATTTTCTCTCCTGTCTTCTTTTTTAATATTGCACTTGATGGAGTTATTTGTGATTCAAACATCAATACCAGTGGTCACATTTTACTAGATCAGTATAACTACTTGCNCTCCAGGTTGGGGGTTGGACATAAGGTTGACACCTCTATCCTGTAAAAATTTCGTGTCACGAACTCCTTAGAAGAAAAATCCCGCATGACTTCATGGAAACGAATTGGAAAACGAAATTTGGATATGAGAATTGGAAGCTGGAACGTTCTGTCTCTCTATACAGCCAAGGCTTTACATTTGCTGTTAGAACAGATGGAACAATACAATATTGATTTAATTGCCATTCAGGAGGTTAAATGGATTGGCAATGGAACATTGAATAAAAAGAATCATACGGTTTTGTACAGTTGTCACCCCAAAAAACACATTGAGGGCACTGGCTTTATCGTAAGCAAACGAATACGGCACCTGATCTTGGAGTTTGAGGTAATCTCTCCGAGATTGTGTAGTCTCAGAATTTAGGGAAAGTTCTCCAATTTCAGTATTATCTGTTCTTATGCATGAACTCAGGAAAAAACAGAGGAAGAAAAAGACATTTTCTATGAAAATTTAGACAAAATTTACTACAGTTGTCCAAAATATGATGTAAAAATTATTTTGGGAGATCTAAATACTAAAGTAGGTAGGGAAAGGGAATTTAAATTTGTAACTGGTGGATCTATCTTACATGATGCAACCAATGATAGTGGACACAAATTAATTGATTTTGCTACTTTACATAATATGATTATAGGACGCACGTCCTTTCCACATAAAAATATTCATAAAGATACCTGGCGTGCTCCATGTGGCACTTATGCAAATCAAATTGATCACGTAGTAATTGACGCGAGACATTGCTCAGACTCAATGGATGTGAGAAATTATCGTGGAGCTAATGCGGATTCAGATCACTTCTTGATTATTGCCAAAGTCCAATAAAAATTATCATATGCAAAAAAGTTTAAGGGAGAGACTTTGAGAGATAATGACTGTGATAAACTTAAAAATGAAAGGATAAGGCTTGAATATTGCGAAAAAGTAAAGGAACAGTTGAATTTGAAGAATTATGATGGTACTGTGAAAAATAAATGGAAATGTATAAAAGACAGTATCTGTAACGCTGCTAATACCGCAATTGGTAAAGTAACTAAGAAACAGGTTAAGTATTGGTATGACATTGATTGTGCCATCGCTAATGATAAGAACAATGTTGCATATAGACATATGATACAAGCACACAGAAGAAATAGGGCAGAGGAGTACCATAGACGCAGAAAAGAAGTGAAGAAACTCTTTAGGCAAAACAAAAGGGTCTTTGATGAAGAATTGCTTATAGATGTTGGACATCTGAAATCCATTAATGAATGCAGAGCATTCTATCGGAAAATCAACAGCAGTCCACTGGACTTTAAACAGACCTCTAGTCTATGCAGAAACAAATTTGGTGAAATTATTAGTGATAATCAAGACATTTTAAAAAGATGGCATGAGCATTTTTAAGAACTTCTTAATGAAAATTGTGAGGATGTTGAAATAATTGCAACTGAATTTATAAATGACATCGAAATTGAGGCTCTAACTATTGAGGAGATCAGGGCTGCATTTAGAAACTTAAAGAATAAGAAGACTTCGTGACATGATCTCATTTCAGCAGAACTACTAAAAAATTGTGAACCTACCTTATTGAGAAATTTATTTGAACTTATTACTGGCATGTGAGATTATGCCAACGGATTGGAATATTTGTATTTTGTGCCCAATTCACAAGAAAGGAGATCCTATGACCTGTGCCAACTATCGGGGCATTAGTCTTCTTTGTATAACTTGTAAAATTTTATCCAGAATTTTATATCTCAGCCTTTTTCCATTCATTGACTCACAAATAGGAAAATATCAATGTATATTCTGTGCTGGAAAATCAACTAACTATCAGATATTTTGTCTCCGTCAGATTTTAGAAAAATCAATGGAATTTAACGCTGAAACACATCATCTTTTTATTGATTTCAAGGCTGCTTTTGATAGTATCAATAGAAACTATATTTTTGAAACAATGAATACTTTTGAAAAACCTTCAAAACTCATTAAATTGACGAGACTTACATTGAAAGATACAAAGTGTAAGATTAAGTTTCTGGGATCTCTGGCAGAAAATCTTGACACATTCACAAGTGTTCGACGAGGAGATTCTCTCTCCTGTCTTCTTTTTTAATATTGCACTTGATAGAGTTATTTGTGATTCAAACATTAATACAAGTGGTCACATTTTACTAGATCAGTACAACTACTTGCATATGCTGATGATGTTGATATAATTGCTCGTTCCCTTCCTGCCCTGAAAGAGGCATTTCTTGCCCTTGAGGTGGCTGCAAGGCAAATGGGCTTGGTCGTAAAAGTAGAGTAAACAAAATATATGTTATTCTCAAGAAACAGAGTCCCAGACCCCTATCTCAAAATAAATTCTTATAGATTTGAAACAGTAAGGAGTTTTACTTACTTAAGATTAATTATTACCATTGACAACAGAATTACTCCTGAAATAAAAAGCCGACTCTATCTGGCGAATAGGGCAGTCTATGGGCTGAGAAGATTTATTAAATCTAGGTTTCTTTCTAGAAAACAAAGTTCTTAATCTACAAAACTCTTGTGCCGCCAGTCTTGACATATTCTTCTGTAGCTTGGGCAATGACAAAACTGGAGGAAAATTGTATCGCAATATTTGAGAGAAAGATTTCGCGGGGTATACTTGGTGGTGTAAATAACTGGAGAAGGGGATTTAACTTTAATCTGTACAAGATTTATAAGCAACCTGATATTATTAAATACATAAAAATAAATAGAATGAATTGGATTGCCCACGTGATTCGAATGAGTGACGACAACACGATAAAAAATATACTGCTTTTTAGACCCACTGGAAAACGAAAGCGGGGAAGGCCGTGGTTGACATGGGCTGACTCAGTGGAGTCGTCTGATTTTCTCGCAATTAATGAAAAGAATTAGAGATCAAAGATAAATCGGAAGTCGTCATGGAGAAATCTTCAGAGAAAGGCATTGGCTCACATTGGGCTGTCTTGCCAGCTAAGATAATATGATGTGGTTTTTACAATTAAATGGGTGTTATGGATGATGTACTCAAAGCACCAATACTTTATACCCTAACTTAATCCGGAACTATTTTCAGGACAATTGCTCAGTACAATAAATTTAAGAACCGAGAGAAAACTGAAAAAAATTTAATTAATCAGAGTACAGTTTGAGATTGAATTAAAAAATTTTTTAATTAAAAATCTTTTCATAGGAAATTTTTACAGGATATTTTCTAATTAAAAATATTTACAGGAAGTTAAAAATAGGAATTTTGTGATGTAAGTCCTGATTTCTATAAATTTATGATAAAAGATTCTCAAATATAAGAAAAGATTTTTGAACTTATCATTATAACGTACACAATATTAAAATATTTAATCCTAAACTTCATTAAACCATGCAATTGAAGAAAGAATAAGAGTATAAAAAGATGGCATTATTCAGAGAATCTACCTCGATTGACTCTGTTTGTAATAATTCAAATAAGAGAAATACATATAAATAAACAAGCTAGATTATAAATGATAAATACATCTTGAAATCTTACAAAACAAATTTTAAAAACTAATCGTAGTATTTTAATTTCAGATAACATTGGAAAAAATATTTACATTATATTTGAACATTAAAAAAATATTAAACATTCTTGCCTAAGGAACACAAATATTGTATAAATTGTATGAGTTAAGTGCAGAGAGTTAACTTTTTTTAAAACTGGCAATATAATGTGGTGTTCTCTTTACTCTCATATAAACATTCTCCAGAAAAAACATTTTTGAACAAAACTCGAGGAATAAATGTTTAAAGATTCTGGGCACGTCCAATAAAACGACACATTTTTTTTCATTCCTTTTTTTTAGAATAACTGCTTGGGACAAAAAGAATTTTTGATTAGATTTAAAAATAAATTGGGAAAACATGGACACATTGTCCGAAAACTGAAAATAGTTTGTTTAACAAAGCATGAATTAAATATTAACTGAATATATTAAGTTCGAGTTTGCTTAAGAAAGAATGCATTAAAAGATAATAATTCAAGTTTCCTACAAGTTAGTAAAAATGTTAGCTTCTAATATTTATGCAGTATTTTGCGCTTAAAAGAACAAATAGGTGTAAAGGATAATGTTATGGTATTTTAGCAATAGCTATTTTTTTAAATATCTGCTTTAGGAAAAACACATTTAATATTATATAAATACAAGATAAATTTGAGATAACGCATAATTTAGTTGATGTACTAATGTAATAATTATTAATAATTTTATTAAAATCTAAATTATAGCGAAAAAGAAATTATTATTTCATCCAGTGAAGTTTTATAAAAATTATAGCTACTTATTAATTTATTTTATTTTCCTCTGTAGCTTATAATACTTTCGTAATGAGCCTTTAATTTAATAACGTATTGAAAAAACCAATATAATTCATGAATGTTTTATAATTATTCATATCTCTTAGCTTAATTGCATGTTTTTTGCTATATCAAGGTACATGTAATCTGTACAATAATATGTTTTTTTGACATAACGACCTTCCAAGTATAAAGCATCGATAAACATGGTATTAATCATTCACTAATTAGCATCAAATCACAAATTTGCGTATTCTGATACACTCCAATTATTTTTTCTGCACACTTATGTAAATTATTGCTGCTTATTAATTTCTTCTTTTTATATATTTGTGGCTCATAAACTTTTCACAAAGAGTCCTTCGTAAAGGAAGAATTGAATATAACATCATATCATATAACTTTTTCATGCGTATTCATAGTTGTTAGTTCAATAGCGTGATTATAATAATAGACTTCCTTGATATAATGATTGTCTATGTACAAAGCGTCAACAAACTTGCAATTTATAGTCTAACATCAGGTGAATAATTAGCTTATTTTGATTCAGTAGGGACTTGTTCTACTTTAATACACATAATAAACGATGCATCAATCAGAGAAAATCAGAATTCTACAAACAAGCTAATTGAATGGGCATTCCTATCTCATTTGGAATCACGAACTGGCCTTCAAATCAATAAAGCCTGAAAATGAAGTGAAGGGCTCTTTGCGAACATTCGTGGCGTATTCGAAACTAATTCTCGAAATGCGTTGACAAATTGCTGGCGTAACCTTTCCAAAAACCATACAGATAAAAATGCTATATGGACGAGAATGACAGAAAGAAAGAGGCAGAGAGAGAGAGAAAGATATGGTATACGGCCCACACCATCAATCAACTACCAACAGCTGGACGTAATCTAAAAGGAGAGGTAGTGCCAATATTGTAGAAGAAATTGTGAGGAATGGTATTCAGAGTTATGATGTTGGATATCTTTCTGCATCGTTTATCGTACCACAATACATCAATGTATAACATCATTCGCTCGTTCGTTGGGAAAAGGCATGCTACTAAATTATGTCTGTCCAGATTTCAATGCTTTTAAGTCAGAATAAATTGCGAAATGCGAAGGAAAATATTTATGGTAGAGTAAATATTTAATGCCAATAATTCTTAAAGTTAATTTGTAATATTTAGTAATGAAAATCATTAAGCTGTATTTCAGTGATTTTAGTTTATGATTTTGCTGGAATCAAAATTGCTGTCTGAATTTATTTGTTCTCAATATTTCTTTGTTCCTCACCATAGTAAGTCTTCAAAGCAATCTTAAGTAGAAAGCCTTTTTCAAGCAATTTTCTAAGTAGTTTTTGTACTTTACAAAAGAAAGCTCAAAATGATCAGGGGGTTTTCCGCCAATTTATTTTGTATCATAAGACAAAAATTAATAACAAATGATAATACTTTACAATAATAAACTGGAAACTAAACTTTGATGGTACATACTTATATGGGGGTGATCCCCGAAATGCCAGTCTCCTTTTTAATAAATCTTGAATATTAGTAGGAGAAAAAATTTGCGGATAACCCCTTATCGTTTTGAGCTGTCTCTTAAAAAATACAAAGAATACTTAGAAAATCGCTTCAAACTTTTAAATTTTTTTAAGATATTCAAACAAAGCTTTTATCATTAGTTCAAAAATATGATTTAAGTATTTCTTGAGAAATACTTAAATAATCTTGATTGAAGAGAATACTTTTGAGAAAATGTCAAAAACTTAAAGCGTCTCTCCCATTATATTAGGGTAGTGTATATTACTATTACTACTATTTTATATATATGTTACGGTGAATGATCGAAGTAGGTGGTTGTTGACTTTCACCGGTGAATGTCGACAAACACCAAATACGTAGGTGAAAGATCGAATACTTCATTACATTCTTGTACATTCGGACACTCACCGGTGTATGTCAACAATCACATAGTCGCTTTGGTGAATGTCCGAAATACTTGTTATATCCAATTTTATATTAATTTATTCGTTGATATTATTATATTTATTTGATATATTTATATTT